TAACATCTTCCTGGTGTTTGCTTAAGTTTGGACAAAACGTGGGAAATGCCTGGAGCTGGATTTTTAATGTCATCTTATATTGTCTGCCTTAACCTGGTATTTGTATGATGGAATATGTCTATTCCATAATACGTCTGATTGACTTATTCTCAAATTTCACAACTGAAAACACCATCAGAAGTAGACAGTAGCACTAGTCAAATCTGCCCTTCAGGGTGTCAGTGTGACTGAAAATATGCCCATATTGTTTGGGATAACAGAACATGAGTATTTTAGCCTGGAGGACACTTTAGACATTATCTAGTTCAACTCCCTTATTTTATGGATAAAGTCATTGAGCCTTAGGAAGCTAAAGACAAGTGTAAGTTCACCCAACTAATTAGTAGCAGCACAGTCTAAGCCATATCTCAGGTCTTGTTTCTAAGTTCACATGTTTTGAAGTCACATAAAATTGCCACATAAAAACTTACAGATGAGTCAAATTGAAAACTCTATTATTACTTTTTTAAAATGTTAAACTAAGTCACAAATTAAATGTGAAATGTTTATCAATTAGTGTTCAAAGTGGACAAAATGAATTAACTCGTAGGAAAGATAGTGTCAACAAATAGACAAAATGGCAACCCTTGATTAGATTATTAAATGCAGTTGGCAGTGTTTGTCTTTGGTTTGCCATAGGGAAATTTGTGACAAGAAAGAGTTGGGTGTTTTTTGTTGTTATTGTTGTTTAAATTCTCTAAGCTTAAGGAATTAAAAAAACAACAACAACTACACACAAGCAAAGGAAATATTTTATCAACCGCATATGAAAAGTAAGAGAGCAAGCAAGGCAAACAATACACAGAAAGCTTCACTTAGTAAAAATTTTCAGCTGTTTAACCTAAAGCACAATATAATGCTGATTAAAAATTGTAAAAGAGTCGAGCAAGGACTTATGATCCAGGAGATTGAGGTTCAGTTCCCATCTTTGATGTCTCTCCCTCTCCCTTCCTCCCTCTGAAATCAATAAAAAAATATTTTTAAAAAATTGTAAAGGATTGTTAAAAAGTCCTGGTTACAGGGCTCCTGGGTTCAGTGTTTTAGGCCATCTTCGAATACCTAATTTAGGTTAACACCTCAATGAGTAAAAGGACTCAAATGATGATTTTGTGAAAATTTGCCAGTATTGTCATGTAAGAGATTTTTAAATTTGTGTGAATTTCATGACAGATTTCAAAAAAGAAATGTATTGCTACTGAAAAAAGTAATGCTTATATTTTAATAATAAGTTATGTTTAAGCCCATGAAACTCTTGTTCAGCTTTAGTAATAGTGAATTTTGGCTAAGTATGGCTGTGTCAGTGACTATGTCGATTTAGACATTCTGTCTCCAATTCAAGCACCTAATCCTACCGCTAAAAAATAAAATCAATAATACACGGTAAGCTTTGGTTTGCAGTTACTAATATTCAGAGGAAAATATTTAAGTTCCTTTATAAATCTCACAAACTGTCTTTATTTGTAAAGTAAAATAAATCTTTCAGCAGGTTTGCCAATGCAGGTGATAAACTATCACTCAGTCTAATTTGCACTGGAAATAATTATGCAGTCAGCTTGGTATTAATTCATTTTAATCAATTCTTAAACCTGGAAGTTGAAACATCTTCCCACTGGGATTTCTGCAATAGTTGTTACCCTGTAGCTCTTCCAGACAATTTTCAAAATTATGCAGGCAAAAGCACCAGATGCCATGTTGGCTCAGGAGTCAGGAATGATGGACAAATCAGTACAATTGAAAATGATACTGACAAGGAGAATGATTTGGGGGATATCTGTTATTGTAGTTTTCTCTTTGTGGCTGCAATGAAAATTTCTAGTGGCCAAATTTCTACTTAGTTAACAAATCTAGACTCATTTCAATTCAACATAGAGCTATATTTTAATAGCTTCTGATGAAACCAAGATGGAAGTCATCTCTCTCTGCCCTTGAGGGAAGGAAACATTCTAACAAGAGAATACACTCTAACACGAAGATCTTAAGTCATTTTCACACTGAACTCCTTCTGGATTTCTATAAGGATTCCATCAAAGACTTAATGTGCATTTCATTTTTATTAAAACTATATGGCTATAGGAAGCACAGAAATGCTGAGTTTAGGGTATGCAGGGAATTGCCACTTTAGTGCTAAAAACATTTTCAAGAGTTAAGTCTAATCCAAGTGATGCTTTAATTCCAAGTATAATGAATTAGATTTTGATACCTACATTCCACGGTAATCGCAAAAAAAGAATATCACAACATACTAAATTCAGACTTTCAGAAGCTTTCATTTTAGTCAGCAATTTGGAAGTTACCTTTTTTTGCTTCAACAATTATTTTTCGTTCTATTCATAATTGCTCCATATAGCCAGTCTACTGAGTGTCTATTAAAGTAAATATCATGCTAAATAGATAGATCATGCTACATAATAAAAAGAAATAATTCTAGTAGCATAGAGCGAATGAAACAGCTAGATCGCCTTAGTAATTTCATATAGGGCCAGAATGGATTAAGATTCAGTCTTAATTAAAAGAGAAACTGAATCTTACTTTAAAAAAACCTAGTTTTCATTGCTTTTCAAAAATATACAGTAAAATAAACATGGCTAATAGAGTATGGCCAATTAGTGGTTATTTGTAACTAGCATGAATGAGTAAATATAAATGATTTATAATTAAAATACTGGTTTATTTTGCCAACAGATATTTCTATAGGCCTCATGTCCATGCTTAGCTTATATATAGCACACTGTATGATTGTATACATGCTATTAATTTTTCTTTCATTCTTACTGGTATATATACCTATCTATATATCTAATAGTTCTAATATAACTAAACATATCAATATCCATCTGTCTATCTATCTATCTCTATCAATCTAACTAACCATCTTCTATCTATCAAGTCACTTGAAAAATTCTTTATCCATAGTGGCCAAAATAAATTTGATAAACATTTTATAGATAAGTATTATGAGTGTGAACTAGAGGTCAGAACTTTACTAAAGTTACCACAATTCACCATTTTGAAATGATAGTTACTAAGGTGAGGAATACAATTATGCAGAATTTAACCAATTGGAACGTGAATTAATGGGGGGGGGGGACCCACGGAAATATAATCGACAATTCAGATGCAAGTGCACTTTAGCATTTTTAAATAATAACTACAAAGCTACTCTTTCTGTTGACTTTCAGTTTTTACTTCACTGAGAGCCTGGCTTTATCCTACGCCTTTCTTATTAATTGCTGACCTTTTCCTGTCATTTGATGTTAAAAACCATGCAATAAATGCACCCCCAATGAAACATGGCTGGAATAGATGAGTACATTGAACGTGACCATGAGAAATAGATCTAATTCTTGACTTAGCAGAGACTAAAGAGGTCTTATTTATAAGCTTCCTTTATTCCTTTTCATTTTTCCAGTACATTCATATATTAACACTCTATTAACAATCAAGTTAGTTATGATTTTAGCATTTTATTATCACTAAAACCGTCATTTTAATGTTTGATTAGTAAAAGGCAACAACAGTCTTCTTGATTGTGAAATACCTTTGTCAAGTCCTTTTTATGCCTCAGGTCTTAGGACACACTAATTTTTGAGGTCATCTCTAAGGGTTTCTATAGAAGGTGATATCTTATTGAGAAGGAATAAATGGCTGAAGTGTCTAGTTTTCTATGTTATGTTAAATATCCTTTATTGAGCAATGGTGAAAAGTAACATAGACATATGAAACAATATATTTTTGGTATATTCAACCTATGATGTAATTATCATGAATCACCCATGTGTTAATATGATGATATAATATGAAATAGTTTAAGATCTTAGTTATTAAGATTGGAAGATAAATCAATAGTGAACTTAGTGGACTATGAATTGTTATTTTATTTGATGATACAAATAGTTAGCATATTATAAAACTTATAGCTGTTTTCTTATTTGTATATATGTTGAGACTCTCCTACCTCTCATAGGGAAGAGACAATATTAATGTCTTTATTTAGCTAAGTATGCTATAGGTAATATACATGTGAGTTTTAGACTCATACTTACAAAAAGAACAATCTACTACAAAAATGTGCTAAGGACTCCTTCATGCTCAGGATCCAAAATGGGAAACCCAGAAGTTCTTATCAATACATAGCCAAGCCTCTTTGGTTTTCTTCCTTTGGAGTGATGGGACTGATCATTTGATTGAATTGACACATGTCATTTACCTGTAAAATCTGGTTCAAGACTGTGATTATGTTGCTTAAATAACAACATGTCAAACTTGAAAAATTAGTTTTTGTTTTCTTTGTTTATATTTTGGCTTATTTTTTGGTTTGCGGGCTATGCTATAGTATTCAAAGTTCTTCAACATATGACCATGATTTCTTCACAATTTCTCAAACATAGCTGCACAGTGGAATCACCTGGGAAACTTTAAAAACTGCCAATATCTGAGTTCTACCCCCAGAATTTATGATGCATTTTGGATAGCGGTGTGGGCATTGGGTTTTATAATATCTCCCCTAAGTGATTATAATGGGCAGCAGACTTGGCATCCCTAGGAATATATAGCTATGATATTCTTATTACAACTCATTGCTAGATTGCCACCCAACTATTTAAATCACTCCATTTAATGAACAGATGATCTCCTGCCCATGCACCAAGAGGTTGCTGGTTCCATTCCCGGCCAGGGCACATGCCCGGGTTGAGGGCTTGATCCCTGGTATGGGGCATTCAGGAGGCTGCCGGTAGATATTCTGCTTTCCCATTGATCTTTCTCTTTCTCTTTCCCTCTCCCTCCTCTCTCTCTAAAAATCAGTAAAAATAAATTTTTTTAAAAAGATGGCCTCCCTTTCCCTCTCTTCTCTCTTACTGCAGAGCTTTCTGTCAAAACTTGAATGTTCCTTATCAAACATATCAATTACTCTGACACATTTTGTAATTTTCGTAAATGTGTACATTCTTATACAAGGACAATAACTTTTAGCAGTGTTTATTTTTGTTAAAAGAAACTGATGGAATTGAAGGTCAAATTGGTTTCTGATTGCACAGATTAAACAAAGTATTTCCTATTTTAGCTTTACAAAGCATCTTACTGATTTGAAAAGATCCGTACTATTGATAAAATTCATGATGAAGTATATATGTAATAAGAAGACTAAAATGTTTATTTTACATATCTACATGTATTCATCATATTTCTAGATCAATCACAAATCATACAGGAAAATATTTAGGTACATGAAAAAGCTTCATAACATAAAAAAATTACATGTTGAAAAAGATCACATGTGAAAGCTCATTAAATAATAACATTGACAAATAAATAGTTAATCAACTTTACTTATTAGCTGCTGCCATGCATTTCTGGCATTCCATTCCAAGCGAGGGTCAGCATGCAGGGTATAATTTCATACTATGAGACTGTAAAAAGCTACAGGGCTTATTTTTGAAGTGAAATGTCACAAGGTCTTTCACTCTTTCAAAGGAAGATCACTCATGGCTGCTGAACTATTCCATAAAGACTGCCAAAAATTTTTTTTAAAAAGCATGGTTCTGAAGTTTTTGTAAAGATTCAAGGCAACAATTTTTTTTTTTAAACTTCTCAGTTTTGGAGGGGCTTTGCTGGGAGTGGGGGATGGGTTGGGGAGTAAAGGGTAAATGAGAAGCCCCTTTCTGTTTAAAAAGTATTCAATATATAGTATGTATATAGCATCACCAGTCTTTCAGGAACCATAGGGAATTAAAACTACAGGATGCATGGAGTTTAAATACCAATTGCACTCATGGATAGATGTACATTTTGAAAAACTCATAAAGGAAAGGCTATTCCCAAAGAAGGTCCTCATATTTAGGACAGCTTGCTGGGTTTGATCAAAGCAGAAAGCATATATTTTCAAGTAAGAAAATAGCAATGGCAGACTTGAGTCTTCCAAGCAATCAAATCTGTAAAGCAGATGGTTACCAGTCAGTCCATTTCAAGAGTCTGAGTTCTAACTCATACTGTGCTTGCTGGGCTTGCTGGCTCTCTTCCGCTCTCTGTGATGTTGGGCAGGCTCTGCAGGCGACATGCTCTCGAAGTTATGGCTGGACTCGTTGTGCTGCCGAGTGTACCTCTTGCACTTGCAGGCGGTGACCACGGTGATTTTGTAGGTGCGCGTGCTGCCATCTTGGCATTGCAACTGGATTCTCTGGGTGCGCGTTTTGTCGTTGACACACCGCCACTCCTGGGAGCTCCTCCTGCTCCAGTACTTGGTTCCATAGCCTCCTCCGATCCAGTTGGGGAGCAGCGGCAGGGGCAAGCACTCGCCAGCACACACCAGCTCCTTCAGAGGGCTGATGCTGGTGCACTGGCCATCAGAGATGTACTTGGTGGAACGCAGTTCCCGGCAACCCACTTGAACCCGAGCTGCAGGAAACAGAAAAGAAACGGTACAGAGGCATAAGCAAATAGACATTTCTTAAAAGTAATCAGCAATGGCAGTGTTATGCAAATGATAACGAATTGCCAAATAGAAAGGGAACATCTATTTTATTTCCACAGTGCAAAAATATGCTTGCATGGTGGTAGAGACATTTTCATGAAAAGTGTCAGTTTACATGACCATAATTTTTTGGAATAAAGTAAAGTAGGCCTTATTTTTTCACCCATATATAACATTAGCTAATTGCTTACTCGAGTATTTGAAAATCCCATTTTCTTAGTCTCACTCCCCAAAATGGTTTAAGCAGCTCTTACACTTATGTGTGAAAAAGAGTGTATTTTAATGTTCTTTTTCTCACAAATCATATTTGTTAATGTCTGCAATTGCTTTTATTTCATTAGTTTTTTTAAATCTATTGAGAAAATGTGGAAAGTATTTAAATACTGTGTACATGCATATGATCTCTGTAATATTTTGTTTCAATAAAATTTAGCTGCAAAGAATCATAAATACATATGTGGACAGTCTGACATTTTGCATATCAAACTTAATAACTACATTTTAAACATAAATTCCCAAGTTATCTTTTAAAAACACATATTAAAATGTTTAAAATGCAAAATGTCACTACAATTCAAAAGTTAAAGGATATAAACGCGCCTAAATCAGGAACGTATGGTTGCCATAACAACTTGGCTACATTTCCATGAATTTTATGGCAGAAAAATGCCTAACATGTCTGATTTACAACTGCAAAAGGAACCATGGTGTTCATTTCCTGAATATTGGTCATGGCAAACTTTTTGTTCAGTTATTTGAATTTAATAAGCATGTTCTCTAATTGGCTGTTTCTTGTTACATGGTTTATGTAATTAAAGCAAAAATTAATCTTGAAATAGTTGAGTTTTCCTTTCCATTGCTTGGTTATCTAAACATGAGGAAAATTGCCTGTAATAAGCTTGAAAAGAAAGCAAGGCTTGTTAACCAGAAAAAAAAATGCTTAAAAGTGTAACTGCCGACATTTAAAACTTTAAAAATGATCCAGGACGTTGCAATGGCCTTACATAGAATGGCGAAGGCTAATTTGAAGTAGGTATTGAATTAGGAATTTTACTTCATTCTGTGCCCCAGTATTTCTGAGGTGAGAGGTATAGCCTAAGGGGCTGTGATCATTGTGGAAAATGTATGTATAGATGCATACATACACGTAGCTATAGAGCGCGGGATTAAAGTTAAAGGGTAAGATAGCTGGCCGGCCAGTGTGTGCTCCTGCCGCCTGATTCCAGCTCACCTTCCTGCAGCTGCCTTGGGAATGCACCTGGAAGCAGCCGGAGACGACTCTGACCGGCTAGCTTTTTGTTCCTGTCCATATATCCTGCATTTTCACAGTGACAGTTCAGACAATGAATACCCACCACATTGCTCAGCAATCTACTATAATCAGATGTCTCCTGTGTTACGCAGAAGCATCCATCTGCATGAAAGAACACCTTGGTTTTTTTTTAGACGTTTGCAGTCATATGTGCTTTGACTTTTCAGAGGTCAAAACTACTTTTCACAGCTGAATGGAGTTGAGGGGGAGGAGCAACGGAGCTGTAAGGTTTCCTGTGCACTGTTTCTCTGGGTCTCTCTTAAAACCTGATTATTAGCATGTGAGCTCTTCTAAAAGAAAGAAGTGAAGCAAAAGTTAGGGAAAGAAATTTAAATCCCTCTAAGTAGTGGTCAGTCAGTGTGCCAATTAAGCACACAGAAAAATGCTCCCTGGATAATGTATTATTGTATTGTTATTATTTTAAATCTCTAAAGTTTTAAGAGTTTCTCCAGTCTTCCACAGAAATGTAACAATTACCTAAATTTTGATCTGGTAAATAAATCATCTCAGGAAAATATGATTCTCCAACATTTTTACTTTTATCCCTCATCATCAAAACTTTCAACTATTTCCCTAGACATACTTTAGACATTCATGGTGAGCAATTTTTTTCCCCTTGAAAGTGTCTTTCCCCCCCTTGTGATTTCTTATACATACTTTGATTAGTTACCTTCATGTACTTTATCAGAATTGCACATGGCCTGAAATAAACAGAAAACAACCTGAATTTCATCTAAAACAACACTTTTTAAAAATTCTCAATGTGCATGTGCATAAAGAAGCAACAGTTTAATTCCTGGAAACATTTTCCCTTTGGATGTTTGATCAGACTCAAGTCTGTGCCTGCGTTATCAGATCACTGTTTTAGTTGGGTTAACTTTACAGGAAGAATGCCTATCTACACATGCAGCAAATTATTCCCAGATTATCTAGCAAAATATATACAGTTCAGGTTAGTTAGCAGTGAAACAGTTCTACAGGAATGTGCGCTAAATGCTACCCAAGAAGAAAAGACAAAATCCACATAAGTAAATCACACTTACTGTTCCGATCCAGTCCAGCGTTACTGAAGTGCCTGCCTCCATTTCTGGCTTGATTCATCGAGCTGTTGCTGCTGGGGTATGCTGGAACAGGTTTAACCACATGTGAATAAAGGATTTCTGTGGCATCATTTTTAAAAGCCAAACAGCTTTTCATTAGGATGCAAGCGAGGGGAATGAGAGAGAAATGAATGGCAGGAGGAAGCATGGTGAGTAGAGGATTTGCTTGGCTGGAGAGCTGCTTAATTCCTTTCCCTCTGCTTCTGCACTGTAACTGTGAAATTCCTCCTCCAGGTTCCCTTTATATATCCCTGAGGTTTGGCGTTCATTCAGGTGTAAAGTTGTGTAGAGCTTCAGAGTGAAAACACAGAGAAGGGGTGGGATCCCTACATGACCCTGCAGGAGAATTTTACCAATGGAAGAGAAGACTTCAGAAAAGGAGGAGCTTGGTATACAAATTGCCTGGGATTTCAGAGTTGGACTTCATCAGTTGTCTGTGAGCTGAAGCAGCCAGGCACATTCTATAGCAGCTACAGACGCCTTCCCTCCCTCTCCCTGCCATTTCCTTCCCTGAATGTAGTTCACGTTCGGGTTTAATTTCAACGAAAACATGCTCTGCTCATTTGAAAAAATTTACATTTGCACAGTTGTTCTGTACTCCCCTAAGGTTTTAGAATATTGAGGGTGGGAAGGGGATTTGTCCTAGATAATAGGAGGAATTAAAGTGAGTTTAAATATTGTAGGACTTGCACAAAGCACCTATTTTAGCTAACATATTTTGTTTCTCAGGAAGCACACCAGTATATGTTTTTTCTTTAAAGTGTAAGGCACAGAGCTAGAATCTGCCCCCTGGACACACTTAAATAATGCAGCTTTGATCTGCATGAACTGCTGCGCAGCGAGGTAAATCATTGCCAGGGATCTGTGCAGAAAATGAGTGGAGCTCTATCTGCGTTAAAGTAATTAATATCAACTTTCATCTTAAAAATATGTCACAGCATTAATATTCAGAGCATCATTTTACAGGATGGAAAGCCTTTTCTGACAGATTATTCTTTAGCAAATTCAAAATAATGTTTCCTAGTGTTCCGCCTGTATTTACTAAATATTTCCTTTGACTCTGCCATCCATGTAAGAAAAATTTTACTTTTATGAACTTTATCACAACTAGAACAGTGTTCCATTCATTAATACTAGGCCACTTGTCTCCATCCTTTAAAAAAAAATCATGAAATTTCATCTGATTTATGGGACATTTGGATTGGAATAATTACATTTTCTCAGTCATTTTTTCCAATGATAAATCTATTTTGCTCTTTGTGTAGCTACTAAAATGACCTTATAGCATGGATATTTTGTATCTCTCTTCTTCATAAATTTTGCCCATTTTACTGCTATTCAAATCTATCTGTCTATTTGCATTTCTCCACAGTAACACTGTTCACATTTTGGAATAAATAATTCTTTGTTGTGGGGCACTGTGTGTTTTGCAGCAACCTGGCTTCTACCCACTAGATGCCAGTAGCACCCCCTAGTTACAACCAAAAATGTCTTCAGACATTGACAATTGTCTCCATGGCGAAAAATCGCCGCCAGTTGAGAACTACTAATTATCTATCCATCTATCTATATCACTATAAAAAGAAAGTAAAGTTAAGAACAAGAGACTATTTAATAATGCTAAGGAATTGTTGTTGTTGTTTTTAGGAGTAAAATGGTACTGTGGCTTTGTTTAAAAACAATGTCTGCTTCTCATTTAGAGTTATATACTGAAATATTGCTAGATGAAAAGGATATGTCTGGAATAAACTTCAAAAATAACATGGGAGTGGATGGTTAGAGGTACGAGTAGGGCAAGATTGGTTATGGGCTGGATGATGGACAGTCTATTCTGTTTACTCTTGGGTATGTTCAAAATTTAAAATTTAAAAGCTAGAATAAAAAACTTAATTTAATGTATATATACTACCTAATAACAATCAGATCCCTATCTGAAGGTTGTGTATAGTCATTTATTCTAATATCATTCCTGGAAAATAATACATCAGTTTGTTAGCTACACATGGAGATTGTATGTCAGGCATCCTTCTAAAGTACTAATTATGAAGAATATCTTATCCTACTTATTAGGGAACTTGACATTAATTACATGAAGTATGTCAGTGTGAACCATTGACCAGTAGATCCAATGCCTAAAGGAAGTAATAGGGTCAAAATAATCTAACCTGTTTCCCAGAACTATTTTGTGTGTGTGTGCCAGGAGGAGGAGATATTCTAATTTGAAGTTTAATTATTAGGTTGGGGTAATCCAATTCACCAAAGTAACTCATAATTGTTAAATCTACCCTGCACCTAGTATCCTGTAGGCTCAGCCTTAGGATATCACCTTAGGCAGAGGCCAAATTGGGAATAAAGATAATGTGGTTGGTGCATGTACACAGGAACAGTGCTGAGTTCTTAGGCCCAGTATATGTGACAGGACCAAATTAGAAAACTACTTTGATAAATTAGACACAATCATAAATTTGATAGTTAACTGTTATTCTGATCAGTTTAAAACTACTTCATTAAGAATAATCATAATCATATACTGTAATACTCTGATAAGAATATGGGTATGGATGTCTAATATCATAATTGATCAAAGATGTAGTCCCCTGAGCAAGCTGTGCTCTTTTCCATCTCTAGGAAAACAGATGTTTCTGTATATACATGCTCCTCCTTCTTCTTGGAACATCCTTCTCTCACCCTTTTCTCATTCCCTTCTTCATTGGCTAATATCTATTTTTCCTTTAAGTCTCATTTTTTGATGGTACTAGAACTAAGAGAACTCCCCTTGCCTTCTACCGCCTCAGGTTGAAGGTCAGCACCCCATTCATATGTAGCAGAGTGACTAGTTGCTTGATGACTTTGAAAGCCTTATGGTAGAACTATTTTTATGTTATGAATATTGTTGAGTAAGTGGATAAATTAATTTAAGAAATATACAAAAAACCCTGTCTTTTCACATTTGTAGTAGGCAGTTGTTAAGATGGCCCCTAATAATCTTCTTCTCATGGGATTCACACCTTTGAAGCTGTCCCCTCGCCTGTGTGTGGGTTGGACATAGTGACTAACTTCTAATGAGTGTAATATAGTAAAGTGATAAGATGTGACTTCTATGATTAGGTGACCAAAAGACCGTGACTTCAGTCTTGCTTGCCTGCTCTAGCCCTCCTCTCACTTGCTTTAATGGAAGCTACTATGACATAAGCTTTCCTGTGGAAAGGCCCAAGTAACAAAGAACTGATGTCTCTCACCAACAGGGAGTTGAGGACCTCAGCCAAACAAGTCAGGAGTGAAAGCCATTCTCTCCACAGTCAATCCTTCAGATAAGGCGGCAGCCCTGGCTTCCACCCTAACTGCAACCTTATGGGAGACTTTAAGTCAGAGGCACCAACAAGAACTAGAGTTAATAAATGCTATTGTAACTAAGTTTGGGGGTAATTTGTTACACAGCCATAGATAATGAATATAATATTTGCTTAAAAGTGAATATATAGTAATTACACCATCAATTTTTTGAATATTGCTAGGACCTTGAAAGCATCTAATGCTGTGCAACTTTCGTTCTTTGGACAAGACTTGAAACCTATTTCCCAGTCCTAAGCTGAGAGTCATCAATGTGTTGCCATTATTAATAATCAAATAATGATATTAATATTGCTATTGTTCTGATACACACAAGCTGGAACGTTATTTAAATGCTCTAAATAGTATTGGTTACCATGTGACTCCTGGCACTAGAATCAGAAGATCTGAATTTGAATCTTATTTCTACCATTTTCAGTCTGTATGAACTTTGATATACCATTTTCAGTCTGTATGAACTTTGATATATTTCCTTAAACTCTCAAAGTCAGTTTCTTCATCTGTAAAACATAACCAAAGTACCTACCTCATAGAGGAATAAAGAGCACTAAAGTGTCTAGCCTAAAACCTGGCCCAGAAGACATGTGGGAAATATAATCATCGAATATGAGTCTAAGATACTCTTTGTTGTTAGAGTCTTTGAATTTAAAAATGAATTTGGAAAGATTAGATAAATCTAAAACAAATACAGTTATTTAAGGTGGACAACAAAACATTGAGAGAAAGGAGATTGCTCAGCCTGATTAAATATGAGATAATGTGTAAATGTCATTTCATTAAAAAAATATCCTGACCAATTGTTTTTTATCTTTGATAGGAAAAGAATCAGAATACAGGTAAATATAAACAAAGTGTATTTATCGAATGCAATGATGAGCTCTACCTGGTTCTCTATGGATTTAAACTATTTTCAGAAAGATCCAGTAAATGAGATAGAACTTGTAACTAGAAAAGTAATTAACCATCATTATTTTAGACCAAAAAAATAAATACTAATAATATTCATGCATCACACTATAGAGTCTTCATGCATCAAAATCCTTAAAAGAGGATGTACTAACATCTTTAATTTTTTTTTTTTTAATTATTTCATTCATTTTTAAATCAGCATGCGTTGAGCCCAGTGTTTGTCAGAGTTGTAGTCCAGGGACTAAAAAGCTGAATGACACCTGGGACCTGCCCTCTTCCCATTTCCAAATGCTCCTGCTTAGAATTCCACTAAAGGAACTCCCTTTCACCTGACCTTCCTTCATGATTTTCTTCCTCTCTTACCACCTTTATTAGTTGTTTTTATTTTGTTTAAATGTTTTTTAGTTTTATTTTTAGGATAGATATTCCTTTTGTTATAAGCTGCCTCAACATAGATAACATTAATTTAGATAATGCTCCTTATAATGCCCTGTGTAACTTGATATAAAACCCAAGTGGAAATTCCAGATGCAGTTGATATATTTCTAGAAAGAGCTTCTCAGCACTATTGGCATTTTGGGCTGGATAAATTTTTGTTGTGGGAGATGCCCTGTCTACTGTAGAACGTTTAGCAGCATCCCAGGGCTCTACCCAGTGGGTATCAATGGTAGTTCCCTCACCCAGTTGTGTCCCCTGGTATGCAAAACCATCCTGGGTTATAAATTACTGGTTTAGGCAAATTATCCAGTAAACTTCCTAAAAACGCCAGTGAACTGCTGTTAAGGAAAAACTCGCATGCAAGCTCTTGAGAGCAGGCTAGGAGAGCAGGGACGAGGCTTTCCTCTGATTGCACCAGCCAGGGAGAGGAGCAGTTTGTCATTTTTACTGGCAGCTGCTACCTTGTGTGGTAGGAATTGATGTCCTCACTCTGGGGATTCAGCCCACACAAGTTCCTAAACTAAATTTGACCAAGGCTGGGAGCATGTTAAATATCCCATCTCCAACAGTGGTGGGAGCTGAAATTAGTTTTGTTCCACAAGCCTGATAATTGTTCTAACCCATGTTTTACTTGGGAGCTTGTTAGAGCTGCATACTCTGGGCCTGACAGCAGACCTAAGTCAGACTCCCCTGGTAGAACCCAGGAGCCTGTGTTTTAACAAGTTCTTATACTTGCCGACGCTGGAGATGCACTGTTCTAGAACACGCATGTGCCCCCTGGCT